AAGACACCCAACTCACCCGTTTCCGGAACTATTATCCGGATAGATTCGAATTTCTCGCGGGCCTTCCATTCCCGGAATGGTAGCGCGCTGATCCGACAATTGTGAAGCGCAACTGGTCCTCTGAAGGCTTACGCGATCTAACAATATATGGCACCAATTGAAGTTGTATGTGGCGTGTGCTGATCAACCAGTTCACTAATAAAACTGTCGAAATGACCAATTCCCGCAGCCTCCAGCCTATCGATGGTGTAATCTATGTAGATAATGTACGATGTACATTGCTACAAATTACTACTTCAAGTATGAGGCAATCATAATGTTGTGAGTGGTGAATGTAGCCTTAACTTTCAATTGGACGGACTTTGACTAAGGCGATCATCAGCCAACTCGCCCATTCGTCGGTGGCCTTAGTGGCGCAAGCATTGCTCCAGTCCCCCGATAATTGTGGACTTGAGCAACGCGTGCAGCACAAGGGTCACCAACAAATGAAGCGTGAATACTTTGGGTACAAACTCTAGAAGTGATCCACTGTCATGGGTGCTATCGTCAGCTCCGTCGACAACGTTGCATACCTACGAAATTGTCAATGTCAGCGTTGTTATGGTCCGATGGGATGGTACAGTACAACCCGTACATACTAAGCCCATCGGACCACGGTGTACACAGCGTTGTGGATGTCCTTGCGATCGCCCTGTGGATCTCGTGCAAGTATTAGGAGTGCAAACAGAATATGATCCAAGTGTCGATGCGGATGGCTCTCAGGAAGGGTTAAGTGCAGAGTTTATCATGCGCAATTATACTGTACAGTCGTCGTAGTGTCCACTCACATACTAGTATGAAATAATTTAATCACTTGTGCAGAACCGCGACGGAAATCAAGTCCTACGATAGAGTCCGTGGAAATCGCATTATTATTACTGTATGTTTGGGCGATGAGCAGGAGTTTTTCTGGGAACAGTAAAGGCTTTTACTGGGGTGAACCAAATCTTCCATAAAATAGCTCATTGCAGATGCAATACGATGATGTCTGCAATGGTCTATCTTACGAAGTCTAAAGCCTCCTATAGCGAGAGGAGATAGTGTTCAACGCTACGTCGTTAGTCACCACCATGTCACTTTAATACAAATGTAACACGTATATTTCAAACGAATAATGTGGTTGAATTACTGGTTAAAATCAAAACAAGAAAGCACTCCAGAGTATATTAATATGCGATATGATTATATTATTATTGGCGGGATTCACGGTCAACGATTTTTTGGCGGCACTTTCGACGCTTTGAAATGCCCAAGCGACGGCGTGGCCACGGTCTTACCAGAAGTGTGAAATACTTCAGAAATCAGCGTCGAGGCAATAATCCAGCCAGCTGTGCCTCTGATCAATTGGCAGGCCCTGTGGATCCACTGATTCAAGCACCAACGGCATGTCCAGACCAATCACAACCTGTTCTTCACCATCTTCAGACACCAACGGCCGTCCCAAACAAAGCCATGCCAATCCCAAAGCACCAAGAACAGTCTGTTACCAGTGAACAAAGACGCGTAGCGTGGATTGTACACTTTGTTGATGTGCTTGGCTCTCCACCAGAACACGAATG